AGATTTATATAACAAAGGTAATGAGTTCCCTGACATAGAAGTGTTCAAGCAGAGGTTGAATGGTTGACTAACTATGCAGGGATAATGCAAAAAGAACATCTATATTGGGATATAAGTGTACAAGATGAGCTCTAGGTCCTTTCCAACTCTAAGAGTCAATCTTTTGTACGCATACTGAGAAATTGAGATGGAAATCAACGGGGGCTTTACTCCAAAAAGATTTTGGCATCTTATGGATATCCTTTCACCACCCCTCTTCAACTGCATATTGCAACCTGTTTCAAAGTTTAAAGGAATTTCTTCTTAATAGCATAATTGTTCCTTTTTTTTATATAGGGGTAGGGGATAGGAATGAAATTGCCTTGACACCCTTAGACTTTAGTAAAGAATTACTTAATAAAGAGCCTACACTCAAATAATTGTTTACTTTAAACTGGAATTTACTGAAAAAAACCTCAAGCACTGGTTGCTGTTTCTTTTTCCTTTAGTATTGCCACATAATTAAATAATTTCACAATTAATTACTTCCAGGAGAGATAATTTGTTTTCATTAAAATATGTAAATATGCATCCTTTGCTTTTTTTTTTTTTATGTTGCTTCCTCACCCACTGTTGTGATGATGCCCCTTGATAAAGAAATCCACCACCAGCTCAGTCTCTAGTCTGGTGTGCTTATGTAATTCCTTAGCCAAGGAACGTTTCCCCTGAACTAGGTCTGGCTTACCAGGAATCTTCACCTAGGAAATTTCAGAGCAGTCTAAAGGTTTTATAATTTCTTACCATTCTTGTCTACGGTTGTGTAACTTGAAGTTTATCAGGAGACAAAGTGTCTTCTAGAAACTAGGCAGAGGAAGAAAGTGTTATCAAAACTCTAACATACCCTGTGTGTGGAAGTTTGCATTTTATTTAAAAAAAAAAGCATTTTTAAGCACCTACTATATGCTAAGCACTTCACAAATATTACCTCGTTTGATCCTCACAACAACACTGTGAGGTTGATGCTATTATGATCCTCATTTTACAGTTGAGATAGAGGTTAAGTGACTTGGCCAGGGTCATATAGCTACAGTCTGAATGCCTGAAACTGGATTTGACTCTCTGATTCCAGGATCAGCACTTCATTCACTATGTCACCAGCATGCTCACACACACACACACACACACACATACAAAGTATGAATTCCTGATCTAAGATCTAAGGTAATAATTCTGAGGAAATTCTGAGGAAAAAGAAGATAGCTTCCACATATCCATAATGTAGAAAAGCTACTTACTGCCTTTCTGATGGTGTGGTGCAGTGTAGGAAACATTGGGAAAAGCTTTGACTTTAGAGTCAATCATGACATTTGCCTCCAGCTCTTCCCCTTACTAACTGTGTTAATCTTGGGTAAGTGACTTAATCCCAGTTACATGTAAAATGCATGCTTTGGGCTACATGATCTTTAAAGTTCCTGTAACTCTAAACCCAAGATCCTGTGAATAATTCAGTCCCTGAGTGAAGATAAGAGTACACTAGAAACAGTGTTGCTAATTTACTTAATTGCATACTTAATAGCATCAAGAACTTTAAAAATCTTCTGATAGGAGGTCTGAGAAGAAACCTTGGGGTAGTTAGGACAAGAGAGGGCCTCAGTGTTTAAGAAGCTGTCCTTGAATCTGAAAAAAAATATTTAATTATTAGAATTTCTTTTAAATCAGCCCAATTTAAAAAATATACCAGAGCCCCAAAAGGTATATAATTCATTGTCAAATTGCTTCATGGGAAAAACATTAATTTGGAACCAGAAATGCCCAAATTCTCATTCAATCATAATTTTTGTATGGCCTTGCACAAGTCACTACCCTTCTCTGGGTTTGTTTTCTCAGTTATAAAATGAGGGAATTTACCTAATCCAGGGGACTGAGACTCAGAAGACCGGTGAAGACTATGGACTCCTTGGAATAATGTTTATTGCTTACACTCATGATTGAAGGAAATGCTAAATTTCAGTTAAAGGTTGGTGAAAATAACTGTGTAATTTTGCCCCCATACAAGTTCACAACCCCTTAATATCTATGGAGAGGCCTCTTGGGTGTCCTTGAATGCCAGATTAAGAATCCTTGGACCAGATGGCCTCTAAATTTTCTTGCATTTCCAAATCAATGATCCTATAAACCATTCATTTATCTTGAATCTGTTCTTTGGAACTAAAACCGGCAAAGTTCCACCATCTTTCATTTTAGACCCCAGAAGACAGAATTAGAGTGAAACTTCCATATTTTCCCCCAAACTCCCTCTATATACAGACAAAAGAGGTTCAATCAAGGAATTCTGTGAAATACAAATTTGAGGAAAATCCAGATACACTAGGCAGACAGGAGCATCGTTATTTGATCAAAAGAGACATTGTACAGAACCTCTCTTTGAGAAGTATAGAACATTAGACAAGTTAAAGGCACAATGACAATCATTTGTTGTTGAATGGACAGGTGCTGCAGGGATAGAACAATCTGAAACCTAGACACCTAGTGATTAAGAATCTAAGCTTAAGATCAGGAGAAGTCACATTGGTTAAAGGAAGGAGAAAGTCACAGAGACTCTGTTTCCCTTTGTAGCAGTAAACAAACTTCTATTTTATTAATGTTTTGGTGCTTAAATGGGAAAAATTTGTTATCTTCAAAATACAATTACAAGGAAGCCCTCTTTCCCTGAGGGCTTTTCCGTTTTTGTCTCACACATTACTGTTTTTAAGGGCCCTAATCATTTGGTGGCTTCTAATTTGTTTTCAAAGGGCCTTTTCCAGGGCTAAGACCTTTATTCCCTGGCCAGGCAAATGAAATGCTAACAGACCATTAACTGTAGTGGTATTTGGAGTCCTCTCCATTGTAATCTTATGCTGTGTTAATTAAAGGGACATAGTCAAGGCCCATAGGATAGGGACTGAATCGTGACCTATCTTTTGAGAACAGTTTGCCAGAGTCCCTTTGATATTTTATATGCTGCTTAATTTTCAGACAAAAACAAAAATTAAAAAACAAAATTAAAAGACAAAAATACCCCAAACTTTACTCCATTTTCTTGAAATAGAGAGGGGAGAAAGATGTCAATGGGTGGAGGAATATAATAAGAAACATCACTAAATTTCGTGTCAGAAGACCTCAATCAAATTCTAACTAGCTTTGTAAACTTGGGAAAGACAATTTTTCTGATCCTCAGTTTTCTCATCTGTAAAAGGGGAATGTTATAACTTATATTGACTTTCTCCAGACTATTATAAAGAGCAAATTAGATGATATAAAACAGTTTTGTCAAACTCAAATAGAAACCACAACCACTAAACCAAATATATAAATCTCAGAGCAAGGCATATTGACTTAGAAAACCACATATTATTGTTGTCAATGTTCAATTGTGTTTTGGTTTATTTTGTTTTATATCCCAATTATATTTTAATCAGCTTTATTTCACAAGGGAGTTATTACAGGTAGTATGTTTGATACCTCAGATGTTAAGCACTTTGCAAATGGGAAAGTCTTAAATAAATGTGATCCATTGCTGGTATTGGAGGCACACACTTGTAATTCCTTGCTACCTGCAGGGCTAAGTCTAGTTGGTTTCTTGAATTCAAGAGTTCTGACATACAGTGGGCTAAGCAAATTGGGTGTCTGCACTAAGTTGAGCTTTAACAGGGTGAGCTCCCAGGAATGGGGGCCACCAGATTGCCTAAGGAGGGGCTAACTGAGGGTCACAAAACAGAGAATGTTAAAGGTCAAGTCAGAAGACAGAGGAAGTCTCAGCTTCTATGGAGATCAAGTGGGAATGGGCCCATGTGTAACCAGCCCCTGTACTTGCAACTTTGCCGTGATATGGAGACCCAGCCTCAAAAAATAAAAATAAATAAAATAAATGTGATCAATTATGAATTGAATCCAAATCAAGGTACTACAGTGACACACCTGGAGACACAGTGATAAAGAGCTCTGTATAACTCAACTTGTCATCCTCAGGGAAAGAGGGCTTCCTTGTAATTGCATTTTGAAGATAACAAAATTTTCCCATTTAAGCACCAAAGCATTAATAAAGAAAAAATTGACCACCATGGAGCATTTCTAAAATGCTCTACCTTCTTTCCTGTCTCCATATGTAGAACCTACTGATTATAATTTAACTTTGTCTTAAAGATACAGGGTCCATGGTGAACATCAATTATTGTATTCTGCTCTAATACAGTGATGCCCATAAGGGCTACTGAGGTGACTAGAGTGATTTGCCCCTATACTAAATAGCCCCAGATTGCTCTGAATTTCCACTTTTCTATCTGCTTTTATTTTATTTTTTTTACATAGTTTTTGTCTTCTCTTTTACTGACAGGTCATCTAATTATATCTTTCAGTCTTGTCATGGTAAATGATTTTGGAAGCCTCCCCTCCTCTTCTTCTCTCTCATGTTCCTTCTAATTTACTGCTTCTAATATGCTGTGTTCCAGGAAATCACCTAATCAAGCTAATAAGAATTATATGTAAAGTAAGATTAAATACACTCTGTAAGTACCTGCATAGTTCTCCAGATTCAAATGAATGATCTTAAATGCATGAATTTTCTGACAGTTCTTTTATTGGTTCCAAGAATTATTTTTGTTATTGTTAATTATTTCTGTGTTTTCAGCTATATTCCCAGCACCTGAGGTTGTCATATAAATATCTTGTGGAAAACTTCAAGCAGGAAAACTTTGTTCTGTTGGCCTGAATTACTCTGCAGGCCCCACCTAGTATAATACGTTCTATCTCAACTTATAAAATTGAGAAAAAAATTAACTTTAGAAAACTGGGAGTAGGCCTTGAGGAAGGAGGTGTGTGTGTGTGTGTGTGTGTGTGTGATAAAAATAGAAGAGCCAAGGACAGACCAGACCAGTTTTACAGCCAATCCATCAACAAGGATTCCACTGGGTTTATGGATGCATGGGACACATATGAGACTTTACTCAAGATTGTTAAATAGGATTGTTTTAATGCCATGCAAGAGGATAAAGTGGATCAGTAATCATGTAAGAAGCTTTCTGGACCTGATGATGAGACAATGCCAGTCTCTTTTCAATCTTCCTCAATTTGGTGCAGTCCAATATTACACAGTCATTTGGTGATGCCATTTGGAGGTACTGATTCATCAGGGAGCTCCCAGATCAGCTTGATGAGCTTCCAGGGTAGTGAGCTTCTGTTTCTGATTTTCTGAGAGAGATATAAACATAGAGATCAGCGTAGCTAAGAAGAAAACCCAGCTGTATCCTCATCCCTCTGAGCTGCTAAAGTCTTCCATGAGGCAAAAGCAAACAGGAGTTTCATGAGATCTCACCTACTCGGTCCAAGAATAGAGATCCTGAACCTCCAAGATCCTGAAGACTGAATATCTATAGAGCGGGCTATGGGGGGGCTGGGGAGAATGGTGTTGGAGAAACACATAGATTTTCAACCAGGTGGCCAAGTACTTAGAGTTTTGAGAGAAGACACAAGAGCATCACTAGCTTCTATGGGGATATGAAAATTTTACAAACAGCCTGAAAAGCTAGAAAAACAGCTATGGGGTATAAGCCATGCTATAGGAGAGCAACAGACCTGTTCTTGCTCTCCACTTTTATCACTAATTATTTGGGCAGTGCTAATTTGATGGAAAGGGAATGCTTGATTAAAAAGTACAAATTCACATTCTTTCCAGGAGAGTCTGAGTCCTTAGGGTATTACCATAATTCTGGAAGTTTTATGAATCTTGGAGCTGAAAATGGGACTTGTTGGAATGTTGGCAGCATTACCTCTCTAGCAACCTCAAGTTTGTTTCCCTTCCAATGGGAGTCCAAGTCATGAGATGGCAGTATGAGTATGGAAAACTATGTTAGACATAGAAGTGTGGTGGGACTCATTGAAGAGGGAAGGGAATTGCATGAACTATGTATGGTATACTTTTAGTCCTCTATAATGTTCCTGCATTTTTATGGAGCAGAATAAATGTTATCCTAGACCTAATATGCATTGTTATCATGGGTGTTTGTAATGGATCTGAGTACCTTCTTACCTATATTTATAGAGCAACCTACCTACAATCTATAATCTTATATTTGAGAATATAGTGAGAGACAAGTAATCAAAAAAAATGTTTGAGAGCATACCCTAACATTAGACTTATTCTGTACAAGCCAGAGCCCAGTGCAAACGGATCTAGGTGGAGTTTCTCAATCAAATGTATGTAATTATTTTCCCATGTCAGAGATTCAGGCAGGAAGGTACCAATGAGTAGGGTTGCATGGGAGATGAAACTTGCCATGAAAAAAGATTCCCACAAGATTACAGAAGATGGAATGAGTACCAGGCAGGAGAAGAGACATAGCTATGATAAGGACTCACTAGAAAGGGGGAAGAAAGGGCATTTTTCTGAAGGAATTATTTTAGTTTTGATTTGAATAATTCTTGTGTTTAAATTGTAGCCATGAAGAAAGATGGAGTGCTTTATTTCCTACCATATTTAACATTGTATAGGTGGCCCTGCCGCTTTTCTCAGATTTAAAATGTGAAGGATTAAAGATAAGTAATTTCTTACCGAGGATTCTTCCCTTTGTGGAGCAATATGGTCTAAGCTTTCAAAAGAGTGCTGGACTCAGAGTCTGAAAAACCTGTGTTCTAGGTCTGCCACTTACTGGCTCTCTGACTTTGACCAATCTTCATTGCTTCTCTGTGCCTCGGGAAGACTGTGAGTGAGGAGTTTGAATGACAAGGACTCTGTGGCCCGACCCAGCTCAGACAATGATTCTGCGAGCTGGGAAGCCGCACGGTCTGGAGGAAATGAGAGCCATAAGAACGATTCATACGCATAATGCTGCACAGTTCATACGGCACACAACACGTATTATTTGCACTGATAGTAACCGTGTTTGGGAGGTAGTATAAATATTATTATCCCCATTTTACAAATGAGAAAACCAAGGTTCGGAGTAATTAAGTGACATCTTTGGTTACAGAACTAGTAAGTGATGATGTCAGGACAAAAAGCTAGGAGACCTAGGTTCTAGTCCAGTCCCTGTCACTCTTTTGCTATGTGGCAAATCACTTCCCCTCTCCTGCCCTCAGTTTTATTCCCTGTAAAATGGAAGAGTTAGAACAGATGACCTCCAAGATCTCTTCCAGCTCCAAGCATCTCTGGTAAGATCACTTTTGAAAATACGTGTGAGTGAAGGAAGCATCCACTTACAATCCAGAAACACCCCAAAGTACTGTCAGAGCAAGGGAGGGGAGAAGGACGGAGGGAAAGACAGAGGGATTTAAGTTTTCTGTGTTTTTCCTCTCTGGGAATATCTCATGTGGGAGCGGGTCCTGAACACAACTGTAGGAACCCTTTGGTGTGAAGGGATTTTTGCATGTCAGTGATTTCTATGACTTTGTCATTGACTTCTAATGTGTTTTCAGAATGATTTGGTTCTTTTGTGGACAAGGAAAAATGAAAATAAGAGGAGGAAAAAACCCTTTTTCATTATTATGCAGCTTTTGCTTTGCAAAACACAATTTATGGCTAAAACTCTCCCTTTTTGTATTATGTGCCACTTCAGATGTCCAATGCTAAACAGAAAATGCTATAAAAATGTCTGTCCTCACTCGAAAAGATTCAAATGATTGACAATAAAGTGAGGAGCATAAAGTGGGTAACCTTGGTGCCACTTTCATGGAATATTTATTCATCAGTGGCTCTATTCTTAGGTCTGTTTTTGTGCTAGTGTTATTTTCAATGGTGAATTGTAGTCCTCTAGAAACCCAGGTCCTTTCTGTATTACGTTACGTAGGAGGTACGTTACGTACCTCCTTATTTTCTCTCTCTTCCACTATCTAGCCATAGGCTGCTTGTTTTTCTTCTTTACCCCACTTGATGAACACTAAGAGACAGCATGGCTCCTGCAGTAGGTGGGTATAATGGAAACTCCACTGATTTGGAAACTAGAGGCCCTGAACTGCAATATCAGTTCTCCAGTTTCCACTTCAATACCACCATAGGTCTTTCATAAATTGGAAAAAAAAAAGTTAAAAAAAATTGTACTCAAGAAGCAAGTCACCCAGTAGTCTCTCTAGGACATCTCTGAGTTATGCTTTCATATTCTCTCTAGATTTCCCATTCTGAAACTTGTGCCTACCTCAGACCCACCGTACCCTACCAACAAAATTGTCTGTTTAAAATATAACTCTGACCACGCCATTCCCCTGCTCCAAAAACAATCTGAGAGTCCCCATTTATTGCCTAGAGGAGAAATTACGAGTTCTTTGGCTTCCATAATCTGGACCCAACTTACCTTTCTAAAGCCACACTGTATTTGGTGTCCGGTAGACCTACATTCAAATTTGGCCTTTGTTACAATATATCCGTGTTGTAATGCAAAGTCACTTCCATTTAAATCTCTTTTTTCTAATTTGCAAAATGAGAGGGTTGGAATAGATGGCCTCTGAAGTCCTTTCACACTCTACAACTAAAACACCCAGATACTAATCCCTTACACGAGTCAAGCCCTATGCCCTAATCTAGACCAGCTGGGCAATTAGTCACTCCCCTTTCCTATCCCTGCACTTTGCTCGTATCATTCCCACTATTAAAAAAAAAAAAAAAATGCATGCCCAATCCCTCAATCTGTGACAGAGAAATAGCATCAATTCTTTTAAACTCAAATCAAATGCTGCTTTCTTTGTGTAGTCTCCCCTAATCCCCAGATGGAAATGTATGCTTCTTCATAGGAAATCCCATTTAGCTCCTTAGTTGAATCCATAAGTTACATTCAATTAAAATTATTATTCAGAGTCCAAGATGTGGCCTGCACTAAGAGTTATACCTGGAAAAGTGAAAAATAAGACAACCCCTGCTTTTGAGAAGCTGACATTCTGCTGGGACAATATACAACATAAACATAAACAAGTCTTTTTGAGGGCAGAATCATTATAATAATTCAGGGCATAAAGGAAAGCTTTCTAGTGGAGGTAACACCAGAGATGAATCTGAATAAAGATAAGGATTCTGAGGGCTAAGGCAGAATGAAACGCAAGGCATCATTTATGTGAATGTACAGAGGCAAGAGATGGAAAGTCTTATTTAGAGAATAGTTAATAGCCCAAATGGGTTAGGATATGACTTTTTTTCTTCCCTCTCACCAACCCCTGCCCTAGAAATGGCCACCATTAGACACAAACATATGTGTATGTGTTCATATATATATATAATATATATATTATATATATGTGTGTGTGTGTGAGAAAATATATATATAATACATATACACCTATGTGTGTATACATACAGATACACGTATATAGATAAAACCATTCTATATGTACTTCTATTTATCAGTTCTTTCTCTGAATGCAGATAACACCTTCCTTCATATGTTTTTTGTAGTTAATGTGGGTATTTATAATAGTCAAAATGACATAGTCACTCTAGTTATTAAAATAATATTGTTGTTACTGTATATAATGTTCTCTTGGTTCTGCTCATATCACTCTTCATTATTTTGTGCAAGTCTATCAATGTTTTTTCTAAGATCATTGAGCTTATCGTTTCTTATAGCACAGTAGTATTCCATCATAATCATATGCCACAACTTGTTTAGCCATTTCCCAAAAGCATGACTTTTTGGAAAGGATTATGGCTGATCTTAAATACTAGCTTGAAAAATTTTTGTTTGTTTGTTCAGAGATAATAGGGAGTCATTGATGGTTTTTAACAAAAGAATAACATAGCCTTAGGAAGATTATGCTGGCAGTTATGAGAAGATTCAATTGAAAAGAGTAGAAATCCCAGGCCTTAAGACCAATCACAAACTTATTTCAATAGTACAAATTAAATATGATGAGGGCTGCCCTAGACTTAGATGATGGTCTTGAGAGTCAAGGGGAGGACCCATGAATGTGAAAGGTATTGTAGAGATAGAATTGATAAGACTTGATCACTGATTATATAGGAGGGGGGAGGAATCAAGAAAGAGTAGAAGGTAACTTTGATCTTGTAAAATGAGTGGTGAATGGTGAAGACTCCAACAGAGACATAAGGGTTTCATTTAAGTGAAGTTTTAGGAGGGAAAATAATGAATTTAATTTTGGACATGTTGAATTTAAGATGCTGGTGGGACGTCCTTTAGAGATGTGTGGCAGGTAATTGGTGATGGAGTTTAGGAGAGAAATTTGAGAATCTTCAGCACAGATGTTAATTT